GTTTCTCCCCACCACCATCCCCCTGTAAGACATCATTTGACTGATGTGAGTTCAGATGTTTTTTATCAGCCATACAATAGTTGACAACTAGGATAAGAAAACTTTCAAGACAGGATAATTTACTCATTCAAGTCTCTGAAACACCAACATTAATATCCGACACAACAGATGGATAGTGCTGTTCTACGCACTAGAATTTCAATCCCACAAATTCTGGTCAAGGGAAACAGCACAGTACACCAATTTATAATCAACTAGAATAAACACCCAAAACATTTTACTAGACAATACAAACTGGCTACATCCCAATATTATTTGAGAGTCTAATATTTTTTGCTTCAATATGAAAAATACTCTATTTCCATGCATACGCCCCTCCCCTTAACTGCTCACTCACATTCTCTCATATGCTCTACCAGACGTGTAGACAGTAACCTCTTTAGCATCCTCTTCAACGTTATTACTCTTAGGCACAGAATCAACTTCAGATTAGTCTGTTAACTCAGTATCACATCTTCCCTAGAAGCTCCTTTAAACTGGAACCTATCATGACACCTGAAAAAGATTACTCTCTGCTAACTTGTGGTCAGTAAGGATTGCAGATACTGACTTAATTTATCCTCTTGAAAATGCCTCTAACCCAAAGTCAACTACTTGTGCTACCACCTTCATTCTCCTAGCCCTTTAATCTAATGGTAAATCATAACTTAGTTTCATTAACCAGAACAAACATCATAACAAATAAATTAACAGAACAGAGGAGATTGTTTTGTTTCACTATAGTTTTCATTCAGATCATAGTCTCACCAAGAGACTACACAGTAAGTATCCATTATTTAAAAGGAGGCAGTCCATAAAAATCCAAGTCCAGAAATGCAAAATTCTCTTTCTTACATAGCAAATTCAGATGTGTTTTGATTCAAACATTTTGCAGCATTTACAAATTACAGCACCTAAAAATATGCTAACATAAATACGTTAAAGTAAAGCTGACTCATGCATTTTCACTATTAAACAAGCTGCAACGTAACACTCAAATAGAAATGCTTAATACTTCCACTGCAATTCATATATATGGAGTATAGTTCAAAAACTACTTGTGTGATTCTCTAATAGATGCATCACAATAACCTCACTAAAACTGAGATATGGTAATTCAAAGAACACAAAGCCACAAACTACTTGCTAAAATGAATCTGACTTTTCTTCTCATTAAAGGGCAACATGGAAGGTATAAACACAAACTATTTCAAAGACACAAAGAAACAGTTAAGCGTTCCAGTTTGGGGAAAAAAAGGTAGAAGTATTAGGACATGAGAGAGCAAGTATTCAAGAATGACCAAAACTGAGAAGGTCTAAGGAGGTAAACACAAATCCATTTTTCTCCAAATGCAGAGAAACTAAAAGGAACAGGCCAAAATTCAGCAAGATGCAGGAACCATGTGCCACCTCCTAAGTGATGTATGTAGTAAGAACCAGATAATCTGCACATAGACAGAATAATAGAATAAGTATGCTGTGGATAACATTAAGTGACAGTTCACAGAGACCAATTAGATTAGTTCAGATAATGAACAGCGAGGGGGGGGAGTACATGAACGCCAAAAAAAAAGTTTCTTATATGCATGAAGAAATAAGCATATTAACACAGGAAGGTAGCTGTGTGCATGCTATTCTAAGCATTCTAGGAATTAGATGGGCACAAGTGTACTGATTAGGCAAAAAGAATTTCCAAATACAACATGAGTCTTTATATCAAAGATAACAAATTCCAGACGAGAAATAAACTGCAAGATATAATCTGAGATGCTGTTTACAACAGACTTGCCAGGAATACTACAGAAGAATATTAAGTAGTTAGTTCCTTGTTTCTGTGGGAGAGAAGAAACCTCATTGAGTATGGTATTTAAAAACTAAGATGCTGACAGAAACTTGAAAGAAGTAGAAAAGCAGAAGGCCTACAAACACTGAGAGAATATTCTATACTGATGCTAAAATGAAAAGCCCACAAAATTTCTGAGAATAAGGAAGGTGATGTGTTTTGCTCACAGATATGAGTAACTAAATAGTCACATGGCTGTTGTCTCGCAAGCTAAGGAAGCTGTTCAAAAGATTCTTCGTGATGATGCTAGTACACGGATTCTATTCACCACACAGAAAGGCCCAAGGTGTACTGTCAAAAGAGGTTAGACATGCATATCACAAAGTCAGCTAGAAAGAAATAGCTATGTTATCGTCTGACTTCTGACATTAATCTGCATTTGCAAAATACAACATTTTAAATGGACATACTGCTGTGCCACAATAAAAATGTTGGGAAATAACATTTTGGCACACAATTCCCTGTCATCTCGCTCCAAAATAAAAGACATCCTATAACTACATTCTCTTCCCACAATTGTCTGAAGACACATTAACCTCCATAAACAGCAATATTAGAGATTTATAAAGAAATACAAGGAATCAACTTACCTTTATTTCCCTGTCCTTTAGGTCTCTGTATATAGGAAAGTGGAAAAAAAGGTAAAACAAGTTCAGTTAGAATCCTCTAATGTTTATTTCAGGTTAATTTCATTTATTTGCCAATTCTGCTCTGTCCAACTTAACTATCAGTTTAAAGTATTATTAAAAACATGCTATTATATAAAATAATGTCATATCAAATATTACCAAAGCCAACAAAATAGTTTTACAATAGAAGGAATTTCACCAAGAAAAATGGAAATCATCTAGTCTTTTACAGCATGTGAAGCTTACATGGTGTTGAAAACGGGAACAACACATGAATTTTTATTGTTCCCGTCCCTCCAAGAAATATAAGCAATAAACAAAGCATAGAGTAAAAGAACAAAGAAAGTTAATGGCTTAAGATTACTGCCAGTACTGGAGCTTCATTAGAACTTCAGTATCACATGTCATCTTTTAAGTTGACTGATGGGTACTTATCAGAGAATAACCTACAATGCCTCGATTTTTAGATATGCAAAGGAATACACAGTGATACTGTAAGCTGAACTGCAAGTTCTGCATTCCTCACCTAGGTAATTACACTGAGAAAATTATACAGCCTGTATGAAGCTTTCACACAAGGAAATAATACCTTAAGGAGGATTTTTTTTTTTTTTTTAGGATTAGTCATTACAAAACACTGTTAATCTGTCATGCACTAAGAATCACTGTAACAGTACAAGTTACAGTATCCTTAATTCCTCCATGGCAAAATAAAACAGCTTAGAAAAACAAATGCCAGCCCATGAAAATCTAACTCATCTTCTCACATTTGTACATCTAAGCACGAGTGGGTCTCCAGGCTTCATCACTCTCTAACCGTTTTTAGTCCTGAAAAACTCAGTATTCAGAGGTTTGAAAGTTTAGGAGGCAACCACCTCCATCTTGCTTTTATGTGCATCGGCCTCAAAGTTATCATAAGACTGTTTAACACTGCTCCATCTAAAGCTGCACCTCCCTCTCCCAAAACCAGAGAAAAACCTCTGTAACCTTAAAATCCCCAACCACCTCAACTTTTGGGATGAATCTAATCCAGACACAAAGGCATGCAGTGACCAACTAGAAACACTGAACTAAAGAAGTTGGGAAGAAGCAGCCTTCCTGGAAGACAGAGCAATGAAAAGCTAAAGAGATCACCGAGCTAGAAATAAATGCATAAAAGGAAACTGGAGAGCATGCACAGAGACAAAAGAAACAAAACGTTAAAGGCACAGAGAGAAAAATTAAAGGGGGCAGAAGACTGCTGGGCCAAAATTTTTGGGCAGTGGTAGAGGCCCACAGAGGAAGCAGAGACCGAGACAGAACAGCTTCCAGTCAGAAAGAAAGGCCAGCAGAGACCTAGCAAAGATAAAAAAAACTAACAAACTCTAAGCTCCGTGAAAAAAAAAACAACTAAAAAAGTGCAGCACAGCACATGGAGAGAGACAGCGGAGAACAGCTGGAAGAAGCGGAGGCCGCGGGGACGGAGCAAAAACCAGAAGCCCGAAGGGAAAAGAGGTGGGTGAGAAGAGAGAGAAAGGATGCGGTAACGAGGAGCCACAGAGAATCGGGGGTGGGCATGGAAAGGAGACGGAGCTGGGCGCCGCGGGGAGCCCGG